TTGGCAAAGGTTTACTTACGATGCAGGTGAGACGTATGGAAATGTAATAAGTCCACGGTCCGACTCAGGAAATTATCATTCATATTTTGGACTACCGACAAGTCGTATTCCTCTAGGTCTCCCTACCAGTATGACTGATTTTCGAAAACAACGTCAAACAACTACAATACAACGAGAGGAAACCGCAAGCATATAGAAGGCCATTCAGCTTGATCGTCATACCTGCGATTAATCTATATTCATGTCTCGAAAACTTACTTATGAGACTACTTTTATATCGACTTTTTACGTCACAAGAAGATTCAAATCAAAATAAATTATTAAGTAATTGATACTCTATAATTATAATTGGATTTCTATAAATTAATGTAATATAATGTAATGTGATAACTTTAATGTAAAAATATTATATATTTAGTTTTAGTTTGACCTCGTTGTCGCAACTGGCCGCAGCGATAAGAGACCTTGTAGAACGTACCTAGTCTTGCATTCGCTGACATGATTTTTATTAGGATTTTCGGCGTCTGACCGTTAGCTTGTTATATTCCCATACGTTTCGCCAGCATCTTCAATGTGAGGCGCCATTCTTAGCACCGAGTTTAAACTTTTCAGAGTGACAAAGAAAGACAATCATCTCGACGAATTTTCTGCTAAACTGTTTGGGCAGAACGGCTTCTGAAATCTCGAGTGAAGGTGATTACACTTCATCAAATCAAAGTGAAGTTACAAACTCTTAGGCAACATTGGAAGAAATGAGAATCCTGTATAGTGTGAATAGGTAAATGGGCCATGGGAAATAGGTTTTGGAGAAAGAGATGTAGCACTAGAAGCCTTGACATAAAAATAGGGTATGAAATGTATCTACCCTATTTCGTTTAAGTTGATAAAGGACTGGTAGTAGAATTTTCCCACAATGATAGGAGTTGAACGGACGTTTCCATTGAATTTCACATTGCCTTGCTTTCTCAAAAGTTGTTCTCATCCATGGTGGACTGCAGTTTCGACCTCGCATTGGTCTTATCAACACCCCTTGCGGGAGTCGAACAGTGACAGTGCAGAATGGGAGCTTGACACGTTAACCACTAGATCACATTTCCACGAGTGCCCTTGGGTCACAGGGCAGATGTCAATTTCAAGGAAGGCCAGGCATTTTGCCATATGATATTCTTTTGTGGGATTGTCGATGAAGCAAGTCTATATTTGCTATACCAATCGACTACGTTACTTTATTTTTCGCATTTAAGTATTGTTTCGAGACTATCAGTAAATTAATAATATAATATGTATCACCCAATTTCATTTAAGGTGATGAAGGACTAGTAGAAAATTTTCCTACAATGAATTTCACAGTTCAACTCCCCCTGGGGGTGTTGATAAGACCAATGCGATGTCGAAACTGCAGTCCACCTTGGATGAGAACAACTTTTGGGAAAGCAAGGCAATGTAAAATTCAATGAAAACGTCAACTCTACTCATATCATTGTGGAACCATTCTACTACCAGTCCTTCATCACCTTAAACGAAATAGGGTGAATATATCTCATATTACTGATTTACTGGTAGTCTCGAAACTCTACTCAAATACGAAAAATAAAAATATGGGTTAGGAGTGATGCCACAACGATTGAACAGAAAATTGTTCAATGGGATCGCCTTCACTTATCACTTTGATTGGTTGTAACTCTGTGCTAAGGCGAAACGTCTGGAAATGATCCAAGTCAACGGTCCGATGCTGGAAATCATCGTGAATACTATGGCAAAAGACGCAGGATCATTTCTTCCTGTTTCTCGGGCCAAGTTGCGAAAATGAGGCTAAACCAACACCACATTTTGCCAAGTTAGATATATGATATTAACTCTAAAATAAATATGGGAAAATGCCTAGCATTCTTTGAAATTCACATCTGCCCTGTGACTTAAATGCATTCGTGACAGCGTAGCCTAGTGGATACCGTGTCGAGATTATACGCTTCATTAGCACGGGAGGGCTGATGAGAGCTAGGCGATGTCGAAACTGTAGTTCACCCTGGATGAGAATAGCTTTTGGGAAGCAAAGCTATGTGAAATTCAATGGAAAAGTAAGGTCCACTCATATCATTGTGGGAAAATTCAACTACCGGTCCTTAATCACCTTAGACGAAATAGGGTGAACCCATCTAAAGTAATGTTATAAAATTGCTTTTAAAACTTTGACGATATATTCATACGTATTTATGCTATTTCTAACAATCATGTCTCAGTCACATATGGTGGAACAAAATTTGACATGCTGTTCGAGGTAACCAATTTGTGACTAAATGTTCGTGGCCTAATGCCAAGTTGCGTATATAAAACAAGTTAACGGCTAGGCAAATTAGGCATTGTTGATAAGCGAAGTAGGTAATTCATCCTTTATTATATAAATCATGTATATTTTTCCTTCTCTTAAGTATATGCTTCCTCGATTAGTAGATATGGCGATCACTTTAATCTTTGCATAATCAGAATTTTACACTTTCAGAATAAAATTGGGGCTATGATACAAATGTTCAGAAATGCTTCCCTATTGTTTGCTGTTTGGCTTTTTTACTACTTACCCTAATACTTGGCTAATAATAGGTCTGAGTTCCAGAGCGAGAATTTGACAAAATTACACGTTTAAATGTTTTAGTGTCTGTTGACTAGTCCACCAATACCACATTTTTGAGTAGACCTGACTATACTTTTTTAATTTGCCCAATTTTTTAATCCTAATTGGCATCCTAATCTGTCAGTCATTGACTAGCTCCTGTTGGCATCTCCAGTAATCGAATTTGCCAGTCAAATTATTTAAGCAGTTGCTCGACCAGAACGAAAAACTCTGCACAGATTATATTCGAGGTTGCTTTCTAAATAGTGGATTTGAGAATATTGACTAGTCTGAAAACTGCCAAGGAGGGATGTACCCTTATGGTTAAAAAATCTTTTATCTTTAGGATTGTTTGCGAACGAAATAACACATTTTACAATAAGTGATTATCATCAGGGCCGGAATTACTACTCCGAAAGATAAAGATCTAGATGGTTTTGACTAATGACTGAGAGTGTCTATGCTTTTGTCCATTTTCTCCCAAACTTTTCTTTGGCATCGTCAGTGAGGCTTGCCATTTTCACCACTACGCCACAACTGGTCAAAGAGATAAGTGAAACGAATCCATTGACCAAATTTCTGCCGAACAGTTGGGCACTCACGCATCCTGCTTTTTTCGCCTATCTACCTATTATGTACCCTCGTATCTGACTCCTTCCCTATCACAACTTCTGACTTATTTACGTTCGATTCCTTTAGAGTTATGCCCTTTTTGGAGAGTTTAGTGGGGCGTTATCGCATCTACTTGTTTACGTTGCCCCCCAGCTCGATTTGCCGGAATTGCTGATTCAGCTTGAACCTTCTATCCAACTCTCGCTCATGCGCACAAGGATTCGTTTCTTGTCTTTCTGGTTAACTGATTTTACCCGGCTCCAGTCACAGTATACGTTTTACTCCTGGCGCTATTTCTCATGGTCTGCCACAAGTCTTTGGGATCACGTTTACCTTGGCCTAACAAATTAGAGAGCCTAGGCTCTGATTGCCAAGCTTGCAGACATCAGAGATTGCCTTAACGGGCCGTCTCAGTGATTCATTCCGTGTACCCTGAGCAAACTGAAAATGTATCTCTAGTCTTCTACTTCGTCTCGAGTAGATTTCTTATCAATTCGGCTCCGATCTACCAGTCATAATGCCGAATTCCCCTGACAGCAACAGAAATGGTTAAAACACAGAGAAACGGAAAGTTAAGGAAGCCATTGAAATCTTTCGTAAAGAAATCTCCTGAAATGATAACGCTGCGTACTAATCAAGTAAACTCAAAGCAAGTAAAGATACGGCAGTACCAGCAGAAGGAGGTGTAGCAGGAGACCTGAGATCGACTTACATAGTTTGCTCAGGGTACACGGTTTGAATCACTGAAATGGCATGTGGTGACAATCGCTGATATCTGCAAGCTTGGCAATCAGAGCTTAGGCACTCTGCTTTATGAAGATACAGTATGCGTGCTACCAAAGACTTGGGCAGTCCATGAAAAATGGAGCCAGGAGTAAAACGTATACTGTGACTGGAACCGAGTAAAATCAGTTAATCCTAAAGATGAGGAACGTATGTTTTCGAGAATACCTCATATAAGCAATGAATCCATGTGAGCATGAGGGAGATTCGGATGGCAGGTTCATGTCGGATCAGAAATTCCGGCAAATTGAGATGGGGGACAAACTAAATATGTAGATGCCATAACGCCCAAATTAACTCCCAAAAAGGGCACAACTCTGGTGAAGTCGAATATTAACAACTCAGAATTTGTGATAGGGCGGAAGTCAGATAAGAGGGGTGGAGCAGATAGATATACCAGAACAGAAAGATGAGTTTACAACCGTTCGGTGGAAGGTTGGTCAAGGGATTAATTTCACTTGTCTCTTTGACGAGTTGCAGCTTGGTGGCAAGAATGGCAAGTCTCACTGGCGATGCCGGTGAAACATCTGGGAATTATCAGAGGACTTAGGGCAAGGATTGCTCATTTAGGTCACCTTGATTACCCCAGGTTGTGAAAATGCGGTCAGACCACTTATAAAGGAATACAACTACTTTGATATTATCTGGTAGTGCTGCGAGTTATTTCATGCGGAAAGGCTTATTCATTGAAACTATTTAGTGTATTTTGTTTCCAATTTAATTGATTCAAGTAGCGCACTACTTGATCACAATAGGGACTTTTTTTCTCCTTTTGCTGCGGAACTAATTATACTGATAGTTTCAAGCCCGCTTAATCGAAATACATTGCAAAGTTACCCACATCCGGACATAACGAATTAAAAGGTTGGTCTAAATGATGGCTAAAATCTTATGCGAATTATTCTACAAATAAGGGAGTTATTTTTAATTATTAGTCTATAAACTAGGTAGCGAGCTCTTCTTTTGTCTCATTTTCGTTATCTGATATACGCTATTAATGTCTCATTTCTTGATTAAAATAATTCACTTCCTGGACAGTTTGCTGGACAAGCTCTTGGTGGTCTGTCCCAATACAGAACACTGCAGCGAGGTAGTGAATCGCTGTGATCTCGAATCCCATTTATCTGTCTGGTGTCGAGGTGCTGCGTTGCCTTGTGCCAATACTAATTCAGGCTGTTGCTTCCCAGCTTCTCGCGCCCTGCAGCCTCAGGATCGCAAGAACTGTGTTTTCTCATCGCCTGATCATTTTTCTCCTGTAACTGACTCCTCAAATATGGAGTCTTCCCCACCTGCCAGTCTTGTTGCAACTAAAACATTGGGAATTAGGACTACTAATGCTACATCTCAAAACTTTGTCTCTCTTGGAGCAAATATATCGGATATGAATACAAAAGGTGATGAGTCACCATGCTCTAGCTCCTTATTATCCAACATTTTACCAGTGACAACTTCTTCTCACGACAGATCCTCTGATGCGGCTGACCGACAGTTAATGTCAATTACCACTACCGAAACGACGCACATCCTCAATTCACCTGCAAGCAAGCCCATTACAGTAATTTATAGCAACGCTGCTGTCTGTTCTTCAAGTAGTGGAGAGCTTACTGCCGCTCCAGCCACAAATGATCAAAGTAAGTCCCTTAAGGACAATTTTCTATACCTTAACTATAAATGAACTGCATATAGATAAACCACGAAAGCGGGGAGGCATCAATTGTTTTTCGATATAAGTAGTTTCCTAGAGTATCATTAATTTTCGAATAAGAGCTTAGTGACCACAAGTCGCTTAAGATGATTTAAGGGATGATAGTTGAGCTTTCCAATGCAATTAAATTTTACTTAGCCTTGCCTCCCTAAAACCATCCAGGGCAGCTTGCACTCTCGGCCTCGCCTTGGTCTCATTAGCA